TTTAATTCGTTGGCGATTTTGCATTTCGTTTGTATTTCTCAAAGGCTACGAGAATGAATGGAAATCGATGCACATGTCGATGATTTGTTTTAATAGGAGGACGTGGAAACTGATAATAAAAAAAAATAGTTATTGTGTGCAAGTCTGATTGATCGGAAGTCGTTATCTGGAAGGGAAATCCCCAATTTTTTTTGTGCATGATATAATTCATGTGGTTTATCTTTGTTGTTGTTCTGTTTTTTAAAAGAATTTCCCTGGAGGTTTCAAATGTTTGCTGTGCTCTTGCTTTCGGCAGTATTTTTCGCTTACGAATTCACGTGTCCGTGCACTCACTCATGGCAATTTACTGCCTCTTACTTAACCCCGAGGCTTACTTTTCTGCTGATTTTATGCCTTTTCCTGACCTTATTTTCCTACTTTCTTGCCTCTCTCCCCATTTCTCTCCCTTCCTCCTACCTTTTTCCCCTTCCTCCCATTCTGCCTTCCCCTCTCCCTTCCTCCCATCTACCTCTACTTTCCTTCCTCCCTTCCCCTCTCCCCTCCTCCCTCCCCCTCTCCCTTCCCCTCTCCCTTCCCCTCTCCCTTCCCCTCTCCCTTCCCCTCTCCCTTCCTCCCTTCCCCTCTCCCTTCCTCCCTTCCCTCCTTCCTTCCGCCCTTCCATTTATCTTTCTGTCTGGGATGCATTTTCACTCGGCTCAGGTGGGCACAGTAGTCGACTGCGTGCAATTTACAGTGCGTTGTACATTTCGGCCTGCGTGCGTGCGTGAGTGCGTGCGTGACAATAGATAGGAGAGGTTCGGGCGAGCAAGTCAGGTGCAGCAGAGGCGAATTTTGAACAGCCGGGACATTAATTGAAAAGCAGTGGGAGTGTTGCTTTCTCCTTGTCGTTCCTCTATTTTCCCTCTCTCGGTTTGGCTGTGAGTTTTGATTTTTCTGTCTGTCTCTCTCTCTCTCTCTCTCTCTCTCTCTCTCTCTCTCTCTCTCTCTCTCTCTCTCTCTCTCTCTCTCTCTCTCTCTCTCTCTCTCTCTCTCTCTCTCTCTCTCTCTCCCTCTCTCCCTCTCTCTCCCTTTCCCTCTCCCTCTCCTGCTTTTTTCCTTCTCCCTCTCTTTTATCCCTCTTTTGTTCTCCCTCTCCCTCTCCCTCTTTTTCACCTTCTGCCTCTCCCTCTTCCTCCTCTCCCGTTTTCCGGTCGGTGACGATGTCCGCATCCGCAATCTAAAAACGCGGCCAATCCCATCTGCATTAAATCGGATCATTCCGGCAGCGGCAGCAGCAAATCCCGGCGTCGAATCATCTCGGCGTCGAATCATCTCGGTGTCGAGTCCAGACGTCGAATCATCCCGGCATCGAATCGTCCCGGCGTCGAAGTGCCCGGCGTTGAAGTGCCCGGCGTCGAAGTGCCCGGCGTCGAAGTGCCCGGCGTCGAAGTGCCCGGCGTCGAAGTGCCCGGCGTCGAAGTGCCCGGCGTCGAAGTGCCCGGCGTCGAATCAGCTCGGCGTCGAATCAGCTCGGCGTCGAATCAGCTCGGCGTCGAATCAGCTCGGCGTCGAATCAGCTCGGCGTCGAGTTCAGACGTCGAATCATCTCACCGTCGAATCATCTCGGCGTCGAGTCCAGACGTCGAATCATCCCGGCGTCGAATCGTCCCGGCATTGAATCATCCCCGCGTCGAATCATCCCGGTATTGAATTATCCCGGCGTCGAATCATCTCACCGTCGAATCATCCCGGCGTCGAATTATCTCGGCGGTAATTATGAACTTTGTAAATGAATTATCGACTGGAGCCGCTTCCGTACGTGCTGGTGGCGGAGGGATCATCTAAAATGTATTCGGAAATCGTCGATGTTTGGTTTTGGATCGGTAAGCGAGAGAGAAAAAGGGAGAGAGAGAGAGAGAGAAAGAGAGAGAGAGACAGAGAGAGACAGAGAGAGACAGAGAGAGAGAGAGAGAGAGGGGAGGGGAGGAGAGGAGAGGAGTGGATAGGTGAGAGGAGAAGAGGAGATTAGCTGATGAGGAGACGGGAGGAGATGCGAGGATAAGGGAGGACGGGGAAAATGAGGGACACAGGGATAGAGCGAGCTTATTGATCACTCATCGTCTCTTCTCTTCTCTTCTTACCCTTCGTTTTCTTTGTGCTCCCATCCCCTCCTCTCCGGCATTTGCTTTCGCTTTCATTCCCGTTCTCGCTCTCTCCTTTTCCTCTTCTCTCTCTTTTCTCTCTCTTTTCTCTCTCTTTTCTCTCTCTTTTCTCTCTTTTCTCTCTTCTCTCTCTTCTCTCTCTCCTCTCTCTTCTCTCTCTCCTCTCTCTTCTCTCTCTCTCTCTCTCTCTCTCTCTCTCTCTCTCTCTCTCTCTCTCTCTCTCTCTCTCTCTCCCTCCCTCCCTCCCTCCCTCCCCCTCCCCCTCCCTCTCCCTCTCCCTCCCTCCCTCCCTCCCTCCCTCCCTCCCTCCCTCTCTTTCTCCCTCCTCTCCTCCCTCTCTCTCTCTCTTTCCCTCCCTCTCTCCTCCCTCCCTCTCTCCTCCCTCCCTCCCTCTCTCCTCCCTCCCTCCCTCTCTCCTCCCTCCCTCCCTCTCTCCCTCCCTTCCTCCCTCTCTCCTTCCCTCCCTCCCTCTCTCCTTCCCTCCCTCCCTCTCTCCTTCCCTCCCTCCCTCCCTTCCTCCCTCACACTCACTCACTCACTCAGTCACATACATTTTCACTCGTACCAATAATTATCTTCACGGCTTCTTGCTGCTCTATCTCGCTGGCCGGCGCGATTCCCAGAGAGCGAGGACTTTCAGCGCCATGAGAATTCCCCGAACACTGAAGAGTGCCGCTTGTTCATGAGTCTCTCTCTCTCTCTCTCTCTCTCTCTCTCTCTCTCTCTCTCTCTCTCTCTCTCTCTCTCTCTCTCTCTCTCTCTCTCTCTCTCTCTCTCGGGTGACCTCTGAGACGGCGGTAGAATGCCCCATTTTTTTTTCTTTTTTTTTTTTATTAGCTGTGGGTTGGGATTGACGGTCGTGTTATTTTCCTGTCTTCCTTTTGCTTCATTTCTCTTATTTTTTTTCTCTCTCTCTTTCTTTCTCTCCTTTCTCTTTCGTTTCGTTTCGTTTCGTGTCGCCGGGATTTTCTGAATGAATAAAATAAAGGTAGAATGAGAAGGTCAACAGGTGCAATGCAGCCTGGCTTATCAGTCAAGGTTGGGATCAGGTGATTGCATAAAATTAACGATTCAAGAAGGAGGAGGATGTGGTGGTGGAGGTGGAGGAAGAGGTGGTGGTGGTGGAAGAGGTGGTGGAGGAAGAGGAGGTGGAAGAGGAGGTGGAGGTGGAGGAGGAGGTGGTGGAGGAATAGGTGGTGGAAGAAGAGGTGGAGGTGGTCGAGGAAGAGGTGGTGGAGGAATAGGTGGTGGTGGAGGAGTAGGTGGTGGTGGAGGAATAGGTGGTGGAGGAGGAGGAGGAAGAGTATGAAGAGGTGGAGAAGGAGGAGGAGGAAGAGGAGGAGGAGGAGGAGGAGGAGGAGGAGGAGGTGGAAGAGGAGGTGGAAGAGGAGGTGGAAGAGGAGGTGGAAGAGGAGGTGGAAGAGGAGGAGGAGGAGGAGATGAAAGAAGGGCGAAGAAGGTGCGAGGTCAACCAGTGTGTCGCCAAGTGTTAATCAGTGTTCAGTGTTCAGCGCTTAGGGTTCGGTGTTCAGTGTTCAATCTCGAAATCGGGACGCCAGAACCCGCTCTTTGATTGTGCGATAGAAGCCGCGTGCTTGTTCAGAGGATCCAATGAAGTGTGTTCTTTGTTTTTCCCTTTTTTTCTTTATCGATCGCGTCTGGGTTTATTAGTCGTTGGTGAAATGCGCCTACGTGTTGGTCTGTTTACGATGTTCGTGGTTGTTTTCGGTTAGTTTGATTTTTTTTATGGATAACATTATTTTTACTTTTATTTAACTCTCCTCTTTTAACTTAAGGACGTTTTTTTTTTTTAATATATCACTACCTCATTTTTTTTCTTTTTTTCCCTTTTTTCCTTTTTTTTCTCCACGTATTGTCATGATTACGCAATCCCTTGTCGCTTCTCACGCCGTCGAACTCAAGGTGGCAAGAAAGAATGCGGTGTTGCTCTTGCTTGTTTGACTTGTTTGCTTGTTTCGGCGATGAGTGGTTGAGGTGGGTCGTGGGTTGGTTTGTGTTATTGCAAGGTAGGATTTATGCCCTTCTGGTTTAATTGTTATTGTAATTGTTTTGCATGTCGGGTTGTGGCATCGGTTGGTAATGCATGAGTTGAGTTTTAGATTAATGGCTCCTGGTGTGTTTGTGTCATGGAGGATTGGTGCAGTTCGTGGATTTGTGGGGACCGTTGTTCTGTCTGTCTGTATCGTTCTCTCTCTCGTTCTTACTTTTCCTCTCTCTCTCTCTTCCTCTCTCTCGTTCTTTCTTTTCTTCTCTCTCTCTCTCTTCTTTCTTCCTTTCTCTATCTCCCTCTCTCTCTAATCCTCTCCTGTCCCTCCCTCCCTCCCTTTCTCTCCCTCCCCCTCCCTTTTCCCTTCCCTCCCCTCTACCTCCCCTCCCCTCCCCCTTCCCCTTCCCCTTCCCCTTCCCCTTCCCTTCCCCTTCCCTTCCCTCGCATGAATGTTTGTGTATGTGATTGTGTGGGCAGTGTTGCGTGCGTGTGTGTGTTTTGTTTACCATTTGTTTTATACGTGAATCCATTACACATGAAAGTCGTTGGTTTAAGTTTTAATCAAAATACTGGTAAAGGTGACTAATGCACGTATGGTGTAGAATTTAGTTTTGGTGACAGTGTTCATATAAAGGGAAAGGGCACACTTATAAAAACAATTGTTCTAATTGTGAATGGGTTATTCGTCTTACTAACCATGACTTGCAACTTCAGATAGATGGCATTAGAATCTTTGTAGTAGATAGATTGCAGTATTCTCATTAATTAGAATTTATATAACATCTTGCATTTCCCGGTGATAATGCACATGGTTACTAACCCTGTACTAACCCTCATGTCTTTTGTTGCAGATGTTGCATATACCACAGCGGAAATATCAGGTAATGCCTGCAGTAACTCTTGCATCTCTGTTCTGCAAATGACGATGTGATGTCTTGTATTGAGGCTTCAGTTTTGAAGTTTTCACTTAACGTATTTGATTTTATGTATATAAAAGCATGTGCACATCTTCTCTCTTCTCTCTCTCTCTCTCTCTCTCTCTCTCTCTCTCTCTCTCTCTCTCTCTCTCTCTCTCTCTCTCTCTCTCTCTCTCTCTCTCTCTCTCTCTCTCTCTCTCTTTCTCATTCTCTTTCTCTTTCTCTTTCTCTTTCTCCCTCCCTCCCTCGCTCTCGCTCTCGCCTCTCTCCCTTTCTTCTTCCCTCTCTCCCTCTCCTTCTCTCCCTTCGCATTATTTTATTTCTTAAACAAGCACTTGATTGTATCACTTAACTACTTGCATCTGTTCTCTCTGCCTGCTTAGAGCATGACCTTTTGGCACTGTTTAACCATAGGCGCCATGTATTTAATACCCCATGATGATGTATATTCTGTATAAGCGAACTTTACGTTTCTAAAATCATGGCCTTTGTTTCCGAATCGCTAGCTTATACCATATTTGCAAGACAACTAAAAATCAGCTGGTATTAGTTGCCTTTGTTAACGCTGCCACTGCGTACATCTGCATGCAATGAGCATGCCATGCAAGGAACGGGATGTCCCATCTGACGCATCGGCATTCACTCTCATTCTGGCTGCGGGTTTTCTCGTCATGGTAATGCGCGAGGAACCTAGGTGGGCGATTCTCCGGGACGAAGAAGCAGCATTTGTGGACGTCTGGGAGGAATCACAACCACACCTTGGAGCTTACTGACCCACATCTCTCCAGCTCTTAATGTCTGGAGCGCATGGCCGCCGCAGCCTCACCTCGCCCTCGCCGGTGGGAGGAGCGCCCTGGTCGATACACACCCAACGATCGGAAGTTACCGCCTTTTTTTGTGTATACAGAGATAGTTTTTGTCGGCATTCGTGGTCCCCAACTTGGAATACGAAATGCTGCCCCTGTTCGGCCAACCAGCGCTGGACGTCCTTTGAATAAAAACGAAAATTTGAACCAGATGCACAGATAAGCAAACCGACAAACACAGGCATGCGTTTAAACCCAGATAGATAAAAAAAATAAACGGAATATAGACCAATAATCTGCCTTCCACCCAATGCACCTTAACACAGCTACTGTATTGACAGCAAAGTTGCCCGGCCTCGCATGCAGCAGGTTGGACTTGGATCGTATGTTAAGCTTATGTTACTTGACTTTGTTTTGCTTTGATGTCATGCACTCTTGCCTGAATTTGCTTTCCGAGGATGAAATATTGTTCAGATCTAGAAGTGTTTGTGCTCTTTCGTTTGAAGACATTATTGTATATGTTATAATGTTGGCACAATTTTTGTTCTTGTTTGTGTGTGTGTTGGTGTGGATTTTGTATGCGCTTTAATGAAACTTCTTTGATATATACCCTATTTGTGCAGTAGTGCCCAGCATTGAGAGAGAGAGAGAGAGAGAGAGAGAGAGAGAGAGAGAGAGAGAGAGAGAGAGAGAGAGAGAGAGAGAGAGAGAGAGAGAGAGAGAGAGAGAGAGAGAGAGAGAGAGAGAGAGAGAGAGACGTAGCAGTCAGCTGTAAGAAGGCGTTTTGGCATCATTCTAATGTGCTTTATTCTTCCAGATGTTGCATTTACCACGAAGAAACAGAAGACGGGTAAACATTATCTACATTTTCTGCTACGTTTGTATTGTTTCTTAACACTTGGCTCTTGCTTTGCCTGCCTTAACACCGTGAGTTAGAGACACCGAGGCGTAATTTGCACATTTGTTCTGTGTTAGACTTTAGGAAGAAGTCTGTTTTTTTTTTTTTTTTTTTTTTTTTTTTTTTTTTTTTCTTTTTTTTTTTTTTTGTTATACGAAAATATAAAACCTCGCATTACTAATTGCCTCCTGTTTGTTTAGTCATAGTTACTCATTATTTTTCGTTCCGTTTTAAGCTTCAATTTTTGGTGAGCATTAAAAGGCACTTTTGACTGCCATATGCTGACCGCGCATGGTTGAATCATGACGTGCATTGTTGCAACACGCGCGAGTTGACTGTCAGGCTGTCAGTCTCGCCGTGGTAACATCGCGTTGTTGCATGGCCTTGCATTCCCATTTTTGTGATATGTCTAAATTTATGTATGTAATATGATATAATAATGATATGATAAATATGTGTTTAATAAGGGTTGGGAGGCACGGAGGGAGGGGGGGAGGGGGGGAGATATAAGGGATGAGATGGGGAAGAGTAAAGAGTCCAGTGACTTGCATTAGGGATCGGATGCGGTGGATAGGTGGATGGATGGATATGGATAAATATCAGGGGCTTCTATTTTAACTGCGCGGTCGCTAGCTTTGGTGCCCGTGTGAAACGATCTGTAAAGGTCATTAGTCATTTCCTGGCAGTAACAGCAAACCTCGGATTATATGTCGATGGAATACGACAATATTTCGATTTTTTTTTCGACTACAGGATGCAATTTGTCAGTGTCTGTGTCAGTGACATTTCTGCTTCCGTGGTCACATGCCAGTTTGCGTGCTCTCCCCACAGGCTGGTCAAGTATGTAGTTCTCACTGTGGCTTGACTAGGTATGTAGTACTCGTTGAACCTTTTGAGGATGTGATTTAAAGCCCTCATTGTGATATGGCCGTGTGCGTGTGGGTTTTCCAGCGTGGTTTAAGGATGGGCTTGCTCTCTGATTGTGGTCTGGCATGATTAGTTTTTCGTGTCAAGACAAGCCAGATTTCAGGTACGTTATGCATGTATTGGCTAGTAAAGGGCAACCGTCAGCGACATGATGTTATTAATATGTTTAACATTCACGGCTGAACGAACTCAAGGTCGTCGCTCACTGTCATAACTTTGCCACGCGTTATTGTCATGTCACGAGTCGCTTTTTGAACTCCTGCCGAGACGAGACGAGCCAGTTAGTGTTGACGTGGCAACTGCTGTCAGAAGTGTTATTTACTCCCGCTGTGGCCGTCTCTCTGTGTTCACTCGTGCATGATCGCCCTGCCAGCCAGCCGCCCACCCGGCCGGCCCCTTCCTCTTCCCTCCTTACGCCTCCCTCCTTCCCTCCCCCCAGCTTCTTCCCCTGCCAGCCCGTAACCCAGACCCCCCCCCTTCCCCCGCCTCATTTTCTTCGTCTACCGACCTCCGTCAACATCATCTCCCACCCCCTCCCTTCCTTTCTCTAAGCTCCCCACCCCCTGCCCCCTTCCCCCCGGCCGTCAAGACACGCGAGACTCCTCCTCTTCTCCCCTTTCCCCCTTTCCTCCTCTTCTCCCCTTTCTCCCCTTTCCCCCCTCCCCCCCCTTTCTCCCCTTTCCCCCCTTTTCTCCCCTCTCCCCCCTTTCCCCCCTTTACCCCCCTTTCCCCCCTGGATACGATAGGAAGCCCTAGTCTCCCTAGAATTTCCCGGGATTACGCAGCGTTCCTTCAGCGTGCTTTCAGGTATGCGGAGTCACCTGAGCGTCGGGTGTCGCGCCGCCAGAGACCAGAACGAACACTTTTGACGTCATGGAAACTAAAAAGTGTATTTAAATGTTTTTTTTTCTTCTTTTTTTTCGTGTTTAGGTGTATGAGTATGAGAGCTGCTTTCTTTCAGCGTGGTGTTCATAATCTTGAAGCGGTACTGGGAAGGATATATATATATGTCCTATTGAATACGTTGCATTGGATTAGTAGAGCACTAAATGCGTGGTTTTTGGGTAGCCTTTAATTTTTTTTTTATTACGAAACACCGAAAGATTTGTTTTTTTTAGAACAAAGGCAGAGCCAAAGTACAATGGGAAGAGATCAGTATCATTATATATCGCGTGTTGCAATAAATTCACCGGAAATATATGATGTATTCGTAAATGCGTTTCTATTCTTGAAAAGGGGTGGGTGGGGGGGGGGTGGGAGGTGCGTTGATTATTAATAATAACGCCTTTTCTTGGAACCAAAGGAGAGATTCTATCCCCGCCCACTTCCTTATCTCCTCCCTCCCTCCCCCCTCCTCCTTCCGTCCTTCTTTCCTCACTGTCCCCCCCCCTTCTCCCTTCTTCCCCCTCGCTTTTCCCTCTCCTCTTGCATTCTCTCCTCCCTCTCGCACCCCCCCCCCCTCTTGCCTGCTTTCCTTCCCATCACCTCTCCCTCTTCCTTCGTCCCCTCCTCCTTGATAGGACAATTGGAAACTTGATTAACCGGCCTATTATTCAATAGAGAACGTTTGCATGGCAGCCGTGTATGGCAGTTCATGACAGCAGTCGAGACCCCCTTAGAGCGAACAAATGCGTTTAAGCTGAAATAAGATACTACCTCAAGGGCAGCAACGGCGTCCTTCTGCTGGTGCTGAAGATGCAGATCTTCCTCCTCTTCCACCTCTATCCCCTCCTCCTCGTTCCTCCTCCTCCTCTCCCCCCTCCTCTCCTCCCCCTCCTCCTCTCCTTCCCCTCCTCTTCCTCTCCTCCCCCTCCTTCCTCCTCTCACTCCTCCCCCTCCTCCTCCTCCTCCTCCTCCTCTCCTCCTCCTCCTCTTCCTCTTCCTTCTCCCCCTCCTCCCCCTCTCTTCCTCCTCCTCCCCCTCTCTTCCTCCTCCTCCTCCCCCTCTCATCTCCTCCTCCTCCCCCTCTCTTCCTCCTCCTCCCCCTCTCTTCCTCCTCCTCCCCCTCTCATCTCCTCCTCCTCCCCCCTCTCTCTATCTCCTCCTCGAGCGTTAGGAGCTCTCGGCCTATTACGCGAGTGGGGTGAGAAGGCCGAGTCGGGCGTGGGGGGGGGGGGGGACCATGTGTCTGTGGCTGACCGCAGCTGTGACTCATCCGTGACGTCCTTCTTGCCCAGTGGAGCGTCACGCTCCCCCCCCCCCCCCCTCCCTTCCTTTCTCTAAGCTCCCCACCCCCTGCCCCCTTCCCCCCGGCCGTCAAGACACGCGAGACTCCTCCTCTTCTCCCCTTTCCCCCTTTCCTCCTCTTCTCCCCTTTCTCCCCTTTCCCCCCTCCCCCCCCCTTTCTCCCCTTTCCCCCCTTTTCTCCCCTCTCCCCCCTTTCCCCCTTTACCCCCCTTTCCCCCCTGGATACGATAGGAAGCCCTAGTCTCCCTAGAATTTCCCGGGATTACGCAGCGTTCCTTCAGCGTGCCTTCAGGTATGCGGAGTCACCTGAGCGTCGGGTGTCGCGCCGCCAGAGACCAGAACGAGCACTTTTGACGTCATGGAAACTAAAAAGTGTATTTAAATGTTTTTTTTTCTTCTTTTTTTTCGTGTTTAGGTGTATGAGTATGAGAGCTGCTTTCTTTCAGCGTGGTGTTCATAATCTTGAAGCGGTACTGGGAAGGATATATATATATCCTATTGAATACGTTGCATTGGATTGGTAGAAGACTAATGCGTGTTTTTTGGGTAGCCTTTATTTTTTTTTTATTACGAAACACCGACAGATTTGATTTTTTTTTTATAGAACAAAGGTAGAGCCAAAGTACAATGGGGAGAGATCAGTATCATTATATATCGCGTGTTGCAATAAATTCACCGGAAATATATGATGTATTCGTAAATGCGTTTCTATTCTTGAAAAGGGGTGGGTGGGGTGGGGGTGGGAGGTGCGTTGATTATTAATAATAACGCCTTTTCTTGGAACCAAAGGAGAGATTCTATCCCCGCCCACTTCCTTATCTCCTCCCTCCCTCCCCCCTCCTCCTTCCGTCCTTCTTTCCTCACTGTCCCCCCCCCCTTCTCCCTTCTTCCCCCTCGCTTTTCCCTCTCCTCTTGCATTCTCTCCTCCCTCTCGCACCCCCCCCCCTCTTGCCTGCTTTCCTTCCCATCACCTCTCCCTCTTCCTTCGTCCCCTCCTCCTTGATAGGACAATTGGAAACTTGATTAACCGGCCTATTATTCAATAGAGAACGTTTGCATGGCAGCCGTGTATGGCAGTTCATGACAGCAGTCGAGACCCCCTTAGAGCGAACAAATGCGTTTGAGCTGAAATAAGATACTACCTCAAGGGCAGCAAAGGCGTCCTTCTGCTGGTGCTGCCGATGCAGATCTTCCTCCTCTTCCACCTCTAACCCCTCCTCCTCGTTCCTCCTTCTCCTCTCCCCCCTCCTCTCCTCCCCCTCCTCCTCTCCTTCCCCTCCTCTTCCTCTCCTCCCCCTCCTTCCTCCTCTCACTCCTCCCCCTCCTCCTCCTCCTCCTCCTCCTCCTCCTCCTCCTCTTCCTCTTCCTTCTCCCCCTCCTCCCCCTCTCTTCCTCCTCCTCCCCCCTCTCTTCCTCCTCATCCTCCCCGCTCTCTTCCTCACCCTCTCTTCCTCCTCCTCCCCCTCTCTTCCTCCTCCTCCCCCTCTCATCTCCTCCTCCTCCCCCCCTCTCTCTATCTCCTCCTCGAGCGTTAGGAGCTCTCGGCCTATTACGCGAGTGGGGTGAGAAGGCCGAGTCGGGCTTGGGGGGGGGGGACCATGTGTCTGTGGCTGACCGCAGCTGTGACTCATCCGTGACGTCCTTCTTGCCCAGTGGAGCGTCACGCTCCCCCCCCCCCCCCTCCCTTCCTCCTCCCAAAGCACAGCCACCTTCCACACCCTCCCTTGCCCCTCTCAGTGGAGCGTCACACATCTCCCCCTCCCTCTTTCCCCATCACCCCATCCCAAGCACGACCACCTCCCCCCTCCCCCACACTCACACCAAAACACCCTCATTTC